ACACAACAAGGACATCTGCTCAACCATGTTTGTAGCAGCTTTATTCGCAATAGCAAGAAGCTGGAAACAGCCCAGATGTCCCTCAACTGAGGAATGGATACAGAAATTGTGGTACATCTACACAATGGAATATTACTCAGTGATAAAAAAGCAAGGAAATCGTGAAAGTTGCAGGTAAATGGTGGGAACTGGAAAACATCATTCTGAGTGAGATATCCCAGAAGCAGAAAGACACACAGGGTATATACTCACTCATAAGTGGATATTAGATATATAATATAGGATAAACATACTAAAACTTGTACACCTAAGGAAGCTAAGCAAGAAGGAGGACTCTGGCTAAGATGCTCAATCCCCATTCAGAAAGGCAAAGGGGATGGACGTCGGAGGAGGGAGAAAACAGGGAACAGAGATACACAAATATGTTGAGTACACATCTGTGATCCCAACCTTCATGATGTGAAGGAAGATCGGAAGTTCAGGGTCATCTTCAACTATACAGGGAGATTGGGTCCACCCTGGGCTTCATGAGATCCTGTCTTTAAAGCTTGTGTTGGCATTGTGGAGTAATGGGAAATATTATATTAATCAAAATAAAACTGTCACTGAGGTATATCATTAAAGTAATAGGAAAACTCATATGCTGGGAGACAATTATTTTCTACGCAGATATCTGAGAAGAAGCTTCAATCCAGGACATAGAAATAATGCCTGTAACAAAATATTAAGAGTAGCACATGATATGATATGTAAAAAAAATATGATAGAAGACTTGAAAAGACACTTTCAAATCAGTCAATGCCCTTATGTAAAGAAACACAGCACAGGCAGTTCCCACGTCACTGCTGATTAAAAATCACAGTGAGACTGTGCTCCACTCTCTTAAATGGCTGACTTTTGAAAGACGGGCACCACCACCTGTTGGCAGATCCTCTGCACCCATAACTCTCCCACACTGCTGGCAGAAACACATAACTCTACAACTAACAGGGTAAATGGCTCATTTTCTTACTTGTATAGGTAAATACACACTTACCATATGATCTAGTATTTTCATTTCTATATATTTCCACGATGCAAATGGGTACCCATACTCACAAAAAACTTGAGCATGAATGCTTCTGTGATTTGACTCTTACAAGTTTCTTTGTTGAAACTATCCAAGTATCCACTGACGGGTGAATAAATGAAGAAGCACGTGAGTTAGCTTTACAGGGAAAAGCTATTTTGCAACTATGGAAACAACCATGCATAACTCTCAAAGGTATTATGTTAAGTGAAAAAAGTAGGACACAATAAAGCACAGAGTGTATGATTCCAGCCTTCTAATATTATGTAGAAGGCAAATTAATCTAGTGAATGAAAGCCAAAGCTAGGAATGGGGGAAAGAATGCCTGCATAGGGATAACAGGAAACTTTTGTTCAAATGTGCATTTTCTACTTTGTGTTTGTGGTGCTTTCACAGTTCTGTGTATCAATGAGATCTTATCAAAAATTTCAAGTTCATTTGAAAAGTATATGGAAAATTTAAGTTTCTGCCCTCCCTCTTTGGTTGTTGGGCAAAAGAGCTGTCTCAGCAGAGTCCAGGACTCAGTCTTCTGCTGCAGTGTTTTTCTGTGGTCCCGTGGGATAGTCCAGTGTCAGCGACAGCAGTGAAAAGTCTAAAACCAAGAGATGGACTCCAGCCTGCATCGGCTCAGTACAGATGTGGTTACCAGGATTTGTAACTGACTCATTGGTAATTCTCCCTTTTTGGACCACTGACTCTTTCTACTGGAGTTACCTCATTTTCATCATTGATGAAATAAATCAATTATGCTGTTTGAATGGGGTCATTCCCTCTTTTGTAAAGCTGAGAAGACAGAGCCTCAGAACACTGAACAATAAAAGCAATGGGTAGGGTAGAGATGAGGCTTCATATTTCCTTACATTTGGCTCTGTATGTCATTTCTTTTCTTTTAAAGCCATTAAACACGGGTTTTAAGACAACTTGTATCACCAATTTAAACATATATACACATGTGTGTGCCTGTGCAAAGAGAGAGAGGGAGACAGGGATGGAGAAAGAAAGAGAGAAGGGAAGAGAGAGAAAGAGGGAGAATATGAAAATGAGAATACATGGATATAGAAAAATAACCTAAGCAGATATGAATATGGGAAGTAAGGTAAGAACGCTAATTTTCTTACTTAACACCCTACACAATGCTAAGTTCACCAAGATGAATTAATCAAATTACCTTTACTAGGTTCCTAGATAAACTTATACTACATTAGAATTATTTTGGTGATCAAGGTACAGCTTTTTCTTTTTTTTTTTTTTTTTTTTTTTTTTTGCATTTTGCCCCCAGATTTGGTCATACTGCTTGTTTTGTTTATACTCAGTCCACTTTTAACAATAAGTCCAGCAAATATCCCATCAAACCTGAAAGATTCAACTTTTATGCTTTCATACTGCCTTCATATTTTCACTCTGGCATCACGGATAATTTCGTCTGTATGTTGGTGTGAAACGTTACAATGTGTAGTCTTTTCATCAAATATTTTCTACTTCAACACCTGTGCAATTATAAGGTGTAAACTATTCCCACATGCCACAAGAGCTAATGATAAATGTGGAATTATTGTGGAAGAATTTCATCTTAGAAATTGTCATGTCCAAACCCTTCAGCAGGGAAGAATAAAAGACATTCTGATGTCATCTATGTTTAGGGATCAGAACCTGGGGGTTATTGCTGGTTCTTTATCTGTTGGGAAGATGAGTAGGGTGAAGGTGACTTCACCGTTCAATGGTTTATTAATGGGGGAAGCATCATCTCAATGTCGGAGATTTACAGAATCCTGAGTTGATTACTAGTTCAGTGACGGAGTCGCACTGTGAAACCCCTGGTTTTACAGGATGTTCAGTAAGAGAGGGCGGCAGCTTTCACACATTACGGCCTTTCTAGATCCAAATCTTGTTAACACGAGTATTTGGAGAGGTTGGGGTTATCCTAGCCTATTCTTATTTTCTGCCAGAAATAGAGATCTACCGACTTTTGTTTTTCACCTGTTCATTCAATTAGAAATATGTAAAAAGAAGACCTAGACCTCAAACAATTAAAAATTTAAAGAGAATGGTGAAATTATAAAGAAATGGATTTTTTTCTTGTTTCTTTTTTTAATAATCAGGAATTACAAATGCAGTTGTCTGACTTGCACGCATCTCTGGGTAGCTCTTTCAGATCACTGATTCAATGCAAAGTCACTATGGACTTAGTTACTTGTTACTGGGCAACAATTTCTTCCAGTTATTACTGAAACGTGACTAACAGACAGTTACCGGCGAAGAACAGATTTTTAAAAATGAACTATTAAATCCACAGCATTTTCTCTTGTTGTAAAGAGGCAGAAATTGTTTTAGCAGTTGACATTTCATAATGTTCTGGGGTCTTTTTAGACATTTCAAGTGGTCTAAGGGCATCGGTGAAGACCCAAGGGTGGCAAGGTTCACAGCTGTTAAATGTAGGGATGACACAATCAGACAGAGTAGCCGCAGAGACCAGTGTATGCACAGCTCCATTCTTTCTAAAATGCAAAGGTGTACAAACCTCAAAAAGCCATAGGAGACATTTCATTTATCAAAGGCTTCGGTGGGCACTTGCTAACTCCTGCTTTCAAATGTCTCCCATTCTATTTCTCCTTCTCCGTTTTCTTCTTGAAACTAAGTAAAATCTATTATAGCTTAAAAAGCACAGTGGAGGATAGAAAATTACATTCCTTGATGTTTTTATCCATTTTAAGAGCAAAATTTAAAATCCTCACTTCTAAGTTTTTTGACCCAGATCTAAGCCGGACTCAGAAAGTTTAACCCTTTTCATGTGTCTTCCAATTTTTGACACTCAAGTCTGTATAAGATCAAAACTTACTACATAGAAATATACTTTTAAATGGCATGCATAGTATTAGATAATAATTACAACGGCGGGAATATTTCCATCCTTTTCTTCTTTTTAGTATTAAACTACAATCTGAAGCGTGTAGACGACAGGTACCAATCAAACAGTAGCAAATGTATAAGCACCAAGGGCAGGGAAGTCTTCTGGTCTGCAGAGAGCTAACCTGCAATCTTCCTCTACAGCTAACAGTCAGGCAGTCAGGAACAGTGTGAGAAGTCAGTTCTAAAGGCAGGGAGGCAGGGAGAGAAGCTTGCCTCTGGAAATTTACACCGAGTAGTTGAAATTTCTCCCCCACCACTGAGTAACAGGTACCAGCATTCTCCATAGCTGCTCCAGTCAGTGTGGAGAAATACTTGTTGAGTGCAATTGGGTTGAATTAAAAATTGTCCTTTCGGAAAAAAAAAAAATTGTCCTTTCAAAGAATTAAGTTGGCATCTCAAGTTCAAAGTCTCCAAACGATACAGGCTCTCCTTCACACTGTCTAATGAACCCCTGACTAGTTACAGATAAAAGGGATTAAAATCACTCCACAGAGCACTTGCTTTAGTCTTTCATTATCTGGACTACAGAAGTCTGTGATAATTACACTGTACCATAAAACAAAAGAAGTTTAGTCCTTGTACTTCCTGTTTAAGAAGTAAACATGAAAACGTAATGAAGGTTATGGGTCCTGTTACAATAAATAATAACACCTGCCAGGCAGCAACTTTAAGGAAGTCAAGACTTCTTCCTTACAGGACACTGAAACTCCAACCCCAAACAACCAAGCAGCTCCTTGACACAGCGTAGCAATCTCAGCCCCGTTGCGCCTGGGCATCGAATAGTCAGTTTGCAGAGAGAAGCATCATCAGGATGGATAGGGATGCCGTTATTCCTGGTGATAAGTATGACGCGGAGGTCATCTATCAGGCAATTATACCTTTTCAGTACAGGCTAACCCCTCACAGCAGGGAAGCCACGCTTATGACAGCATTAGAGAGACAAAGCCTTCAGCTCTTAAAAAAAAAAAAAAAGAAAAGCCAAAAAAAGAAAAAAAGATTAAAAAAATTAAATTCATTTTCTTACCAGCACGTTGCAGCACCAACTTGCTCACGGGAATGTTGCTTTTACAGGTTTCTCTTTTAATTATCCTGGAAGCAGGGAGACAGGGAGGGGGGCTAGAAAAGAAGAAGCAGGGTGGTTAAATTAGCGTGCTGGAATCTTTTCAGTTTGTCGCAGAGAGTAGAAAAATAAAAAAAAAAAAAAAAAAGAAAAAGAAAAAAAACTCAGTAATTTAAATTTGCTCTCAGTTCAGGCTGCACCGTTGGGTCCCGCCCCTTCTTCCTGCTGGGTTCCATTACCTGCAAGGCTGGGACTGACGGCCAGTGTTCAAACACAAAAAGGCAGCCAGCATGCTGGGACCATTCTGTCTGCTCTTTGGGTCTCACTTGTCCTGTCAACTAAGCATCAGGACCAGGAAGGTGTTCTGCAGCATCTCCTCGGGTACTCTCATGCCACTCCTTGCCATGGGAGCTGATCACACCCAGCGGGGGCTTTTGCTTACAGTTTGCTTTGTTTTTAACTCGATCATTATATCACTATTTCTTGTAATTATGGATTAATTAAATATATATTGTTTATCTTGTGCCATCTTTTGTATTCCTCACTGTCCCCCTCCCCCACTCCAAAACACATTCTCTCCTGTTTTTTTTTTTTTTTTTTTTTTCCCTTTACAACACAAACATAGACATATCTATGAACACAACAGAAGACATATCAAAATTATAAGGGCTCTCATTTTTTCCTTGGACTTCTGACTTTTTTCTTTCTTTCTTTCTTTCTTTCTTTCTTTCTTTCTTTCTTTCTTTCTTTCTTTCTTTCTTTCTTT